GAATTACAGTCATCATACTTACAATGTGTTAACATTTTAAGACTTCTGAAAGATTAAGATATTTTAAGGCTAATTAAGGCCTTATTTTTGGATTGATGAATTCAATGACTTTTAAGACTTTTTAAGGATCCACAGGAACCCTGATTAAGATAATGATGGATTTAATACGTACTGTTGCAAAAAGAAAAAAAAAATGGAAGCTTGAAGCCATAAATAAGTTGACCTGACAATAAGTGTCTTTCTTCTCATTTGTAACAATTTTATTTTCTTTCAAGGCTTTACGTCCACTCAGCGGTTGGAAACTGGAAGAAGTGTCTTCACTCCATCAAACTCAAAGACTCGGTGCTCAGTCTGGTGTAAGACAAACACGTCCTACTTTCAGATTATCTCATGCAGRCGWGYCAAACTCATTTTCAGCGAGGGCCATATGAGCGTTATGGTGGCCCTCGAAGGGCCAGTTGTAATGAACTTTGATGTTTCGTGTTTGACTTGGACTAAACACGAAACGTCTCATTGCTATGGATGAGCACCACTAACAAACAATAACTGGGCTCTACGTAGTGTCACTGGTGTCYCTTTGAATCCCTGCAGCAGTTTCTGTCTCCTGTCGCTCTGCAGGCACGTGAAAGGTCGAGTTCTGGTCGCTCTCGCTGATGGGACGCTCGCCATATTTCACAGATCAGAAGGTACAGCGTCCTGATCATTGGAGAGTTTTTTTTTTTGTCTGCATGAAGGTACAGTTCTGCATTAAGAGTGTTTCATGAACAGATGGTCAGTGGGATCTGTCCAACTACCACCTCATGGACCTCGGTCGGCCTCATCACTCCATCCGCTGCATGGCCGTCGTCCATGATAAGGTGTGGTGCGGCTACAAGAACAAGATTCATGTCATTCAGCCCAAAAGCATGCAGATTGAGGTGAGTTACTAACCCGCTTTGCTCCGCCCCCGAGCGTCGCRGTTTTGACAGTAACAGATTCCCTCTGATTCTGCAGAAGTCCTTCGACGCCCACCCTCGCAGGGAGAGCCAGGTGAGGCAGCTGGCGTGGATCGGCGACGGCGTGTGGGTGTCCATCCGGCTGGATTCAACTCTGCGACTGTACCACGCGCACACACACCAGCACCTCCAGGACGTCGACATCGAACCGTACGTCAGCAAAATGTTGGGTGAGATTTTTTTATTATTATTAATATCCACGGTGACACAGCAGGTACTGTATTTCCTGTTGAGCCTTGAGGTGCGCTCCTCCTCCTCTCTCCTCTCCTCTCAGGTACGGGCAAGCTGGGCTTCTCTTTTGTCCGGATCACGGCCCTCCTTATTGGTGGAAATCGTCTCTGGGTGGGAACGGGAAATGGTGTGATCATCTCCATCCCTCTGACAGAGAGTGAGTGAATTTATACAGCAAGTGACCGATATTTACTGAATGAGTGATCAGACATTACTAACACTAAAACTGTGTGTGTGTGTGTGTGTGTGTGTGTGTGTGTGTGTGTGTGTGTGTGTGTGTGT